CTGGGCTCATTCCTAGTGCAAGAGGCTTACTCCAGCCCTTCAGAGCAATGGGGTAGCTGAATTTCCAGGACTAGGCCCTTGACCAGACAGAGGCAGGCCCTCTCAGTGGCCAAGGAATACTGATTCCAGGGAGCTATGCTTGTCCTGGGATTCCAAGCACGAATTAATCTGCATTCGGGATGCCAAGGGTGTTTGTTAAAATGCAAATTCCAGGACCATCTGGGAGCCAGTGAAACCAAAGTTTAAGAACCATCATTCTAGCCCTGTGGCCTCTCAAGCAGGATGTCCACATCCCAGGCAATCCATAAAATAATGCCGTTGGTTGTGTGATGAGAACATAAGAACTTTTTTTTTTACACATCAAATAAGAAATATAGAAAATAAGAAATTACTGTGTGCTACTATTTAATATTCAGCTTGTCCCTGGATCCCTCATGTGGTCATGTCACCTGCAGTTCTGGAGGCCTTCTGGGAGCGGGGACTCCAAACCACAAAGGCACAAACGGCGGGGTCTGCACTGGTACACAATTTTTCACAGTGTTAGAATACACTGTAGTTTACTCATGAAGTGGGTTTATGGGTTCTATTACGTAGTTTTCACTCAAGCCTGAAAAAATGGACCAGTGTCTTAAAAAAGATTCCTGCAAAAAAACCACGCTGTATCTTGAAGATAATGATAAGGAGCATCAGTGAAAAATAAGAAAATGCCAGAATCGACACGTACTCGTGGGGTGAGCTTTTCTTCAGCCACACTAGAGAGTGCAAATGATGGTAAACCAATCAAATTTATGACAAGTCAGCCAAATCCATCCCCCCCGAAAACTTAAAAGTTATCCAGAAGACTAACTGAAATACAGACTTCCGTTCAACCAGCATCTCTGCCGAATCTCCACTAAGCGTAGAATATGTTTCGGGTTATTAGCTACAGCCAGTATAAAGCCATCGTGATTAACAAGATAAAACAACCAGAATATTCTAATCAGTAGCCTTTTTTAGCAAAAGAAGCTTCGTACTGTTAATAAAGTAAAATATTTTAAACTGTTTAATCTTTGTCTCATTTAAATATTTGTTGGTGTATTTTATAGTGTATTCATGCCATATGATAAGTATACAATTTATAAATAAATACATATTATGGATGCATGCCCGAATTTTTAAACTGATGGTCATGGGGGATAAAAGGCCAGGTTCAGCTTGTTCCAGCTCAAAACTGTAATAAACTGTCTTCTTCTCTGACCTCCTGATCAGTGTTGAGATAAGTAACCTGTCTCTCAGTGAGTCATGCCATCCATCATGAAAAAACACCTTCTTACTTGGGTGTTACAACAACTTTGTCATGGAACCTCAGAAGAAAAATGGAGTGAATTGGCCAGTCCCACTCCCCCCGGGCATGAGCACCTGAAGGAATCCTGGGCTCTACAAACTGCTTTGCATAGAAAACTCCTAGCAGGATATGAACTCTGAAGCCACATCTATTCACGATGGTCTGGGGGGACACGCCTGCAAGTGCAGAATCTGGTGCGACCATCCACCAGGGAACATTCCCATCACAGGCAACAGTTCCTGACTGCCCGGCGTCTCCTGTTTTCCATTTCTGTCTACTGTTGCGACTTCTTTTCCTCCTTGAGCCACTCCCTGTGACTCACACTTGGACTCCCAGGACCTGCCCCAGGCCTGCTTACTTTAAAGACCCAATCTGGATTTTCCTCCAGTTTTTGACCTGGTTCCTCGCATTTCGTTTTCTTTCTTTTTTTTTTTTTTTAATGTTTATTTATTTTTGAGACAGAGAGAGACAGAGCATGAATGGGGGAGGGGCAGAGAGAGAGGGAGACACAGAATCGGAAGCAGGCTCCAGGCTCTGAGCCATCAGCCCAGAGCCTGATGCGGGGCTCAAACTCACGGACCGCGAGATCGTGACCTGAGCTGAAGTCGGACGCTTAACCGACTGAGCCACCCAGGCGCCCCTCGCATTTCGTTTTCAAATTGCACGCTACCTTAGCGCCACAGCTACGATGGATATACTCCCCCAGGCTTGCGAGGCTCATACAAACTTGCCAGGCTCCCATCGTCCTGCCAGGAGGGCCAGTGATTATATTATTGTATTGAATAGGAGAGAAAGGATCCAAGGACTACTTCTGGGAGCCAACCCCATGCCCCAATTAAGGGTGAAGGCTTCCTTCCCTCTTCCAGACCCTAGTAAGGGGCAAGGACACTCCTTGGCAAGGGAGAAGAACTGTAGAAGAAAGGTCTCTGCCCAAATGTTTCTGCTTGATTCTCTGTGGGTATAATGGCTACACAGTTTGCTCTTTTCAGCCATCTTAACTTGCATATAGCCCAGACTCTCTGTTCTTTGTCAGGACAGAAGAACAAAGAGAAAGCTGGATACAGGATGGGAGAAACTTCATTGGAGTTGGTGACAGACCCCTTTTCCTGTTTACTCCCCACCCCCTCCATTGTGAGGCTCTCTTACTTGATTCTGTATGCATAATCTTTGGCCACAGCCTGCTGTCTGTTGGCTGCCATCTACAAAGGCCTCCCACTTGGCCTTGTAGAGCTCCTTTGATTTCCAACTAAGCGTCAATATAAGTTGGGAAACTGACCTCCAATATTTTCTTCTCCAAGAACCCCTTTTATGATGTTCCTTCCTCACAGATTCCTTGTTTTAGAAGATTTATATTAACCTATTTTCAAGTCATTTTTTTATTCCCTAATTTAAAAATCAAAGCAATAAAATGACTAAAAGCTAGACAGATGAGGGACAGTTGCGTCTACAAGGAGTGATGGATGCCTGTGGCATTCCATGTGCAGGAAAGGGAGACCGATACAGTGGTACCCCAAAGCTCTGCTCCCCACTACTGAATGTTGGAACTTGGTTATGTCTGTAGATTGCCGCGTTTCCTTGTGCGCTACAGTAAAACCTTGGTTTGCGAGCATAATGTGTTCCGGAAACATGCTTGTAATCCAAAGCACTTATATATCAAAGCGAATTTCCCCATAAAGAACCATGGAAACTTGGATGATTCGTTCCACAACCCAAAAATATTCATAAAAAGGGCACCTGAGTGGCTCAGTCAGTTAATCATGTGACTTCGGCTCAGGTCATGATCTCTCAGTTTGAGCCCTGCATTCGACTCTGTGCTGACGGCTTAGAGCCTGTAGCCTGCTTTGGATTCTGTCTCTCTCTTTCTCTCTCTGCCCCTCTCCTCATTCTCTCTTTCTAAAATAACTATTTTAAAACCCACAAAAGTATTCATATAAAAATGTTTACAATACCCTAATGTAATACAAAATAATAAAGAATACACAAAATATAAAGAAAAATAAACAAATTAACCTGTACTTACCTTTGGAAACCTTCGTGGCTGGTATGAGGGAGACGAGAGAGGAGGGTTATTGTGTAGGACAACTTTCACTATCACTAATGGAATCACTGCTATCTATTGACTCAATGGAATCTGTGTGTGTGTGTGTGTGTGTGTGTGTGTGTGTGTGTGCAACATTAACAAGGAACCTATCCAATGACCCTTGCTTTTGTCTCTTTTTGAGGATTTTGTGGAAATGTGACATTGCATTGTCATTAAACAGATTCATTGCTCGCATTAATAGCCTTATTCAGGTGGTGCTTTTCACAAAACTGCACTGTTTCCCACATTTTACACATCTCCCTAATCTCATTTGAAGTGAGGGGTTCCTCGGCCTTTTTCTCCTCCTCCTTTGCAGACAGGATGAAGACGTAGACTTCTCACAAAATCTTGCAGTTTCGGCCACTCACATATCTTATTCGTATTTCTCAATGATTTCCTTCTTAACTTCCACTGTAATCATCTCCTTCTTACCGCCTTTCTTTCCAACCTTTTTCTGCAAGGGGCCATTGTATATGCTCACATGGATGTTGACTACAGTACAGTATTAATAAACTCCTGTCAGATACTGTATTTAATGTAACTGGCAATAAGGCAGCAGAGGAAAGGGTCTATAGCTGCAGGCAGCCTGCCCTAGAATGAAGCAAAGCATTTCTAAGCTTACTCTTGTATGGAAAAGAAAAGGCCTGTCCATAGGTGCTTTGAAGTGACAAAAAAATACACTAGTGCGTGTTGTGGGCGCCTTCAAGTGTTCTGAAAAATCACTGATTTCTGCCAAACACTGCAGTGTGAGACCAAGCATCCGAGCATGGGAGACGATCACCCACAGTCCCACAGGGAGAGAGAGAGAGAGAAGAACCATAAGGTCAGTTGCGATCATGTGACATTCGGCATCACATACTACTCGATTGCAAGCCACCGCTCATTTATCAAGTTAAAATTTATTAGAAATGTTTGCTTGTCTTGTGGAACACTCATAGAACAAGTTACTTGTGCTCCAATGTTTTACCGTATTTCTGAAACTGGACCCTACGATGCTTTGTACATGTGTACGATGCAAATAGGGCCACAAGGTTTTTAAGCTTAGCACAAAGCCTTACTCTATATACACTCAAATTCAGGAGGCCTACCTGTAAGAGGGTCCAAAGTGAGGCAAGGCAATTGAACTCAAGTCTAATTTTAATAAATCATCTCTTAGGATGTATTACATTATGAATATTTCAAGCAAGTTTCATTATTTTTGTTTTATTTACCCTGGATACCGAAATCACCTTTACAATGAAGTACCTAAAACTGTGAAGAAAGTGCAATGTGATCTTAATAGTGTAAAAACAGACTTGCATTAAAATACCTCCTTTAGGAGTTGAATTTTGGATACCTTTTACTAAAGCAAACAGCCAAAACTAGGACCCTGAAACAACTGTCATGGCGTTAAGCATTAGAAGGTAATAAAAGTCACGCAGAATAAACCAAGCCCAAATTCTGCCATTAACTTCTTTTGCGAAACTACTACAGTAGAATGGATATGAACAAAGCCAAGAAGATTTTGTCTTTATGGTCACCTGACCTGAGTGGGAAAGATTTTTTTTTAATTGTACTTATTTTGTCCCCGCCCCCCCCCATGGGTATTTTACTTACCATTTGGAAGCATGAGGAGAATATAAATTATCATCATTAATAGGAGCCGTTAACACATGATGGTTTACAACATTTAAATACTTCTCGATGTGAATCTGTTACAGAAAAGTGAAAGTTTAGGCTATTAGACTGGACTGAAGATACTCAGCTAATTTACTTAACTTCATTAGGGTAACACTCTGAATTGTGTGATTAAGCCAAAAGACACAACACGCTATGTGTTTATTACATGCCTAAGGTATCATTGGGCATCTCAGGGCTAAATGACTTTAACTGTCCCAAAAAGCGTAATAAACAATTGAGACTCAAAGCTTGAGTGACCTGTGGTGCTCTTCACAAATTAAACCATGCACGATAGTAAATCGCTAAGCCAGGTAAGCTTACGAGGCAAGACAGACACGGAGTAATCTTTCCCTTATAGGGACTGCAAGCCAGCAGCCGAAGAAAGAATTTGGCCCTTAGGTTACAGATCATTTAAAATGGCCAACCCGAAAACTTCAGCTGGGTACAGCCCTGTCACCATCAGGTCATATAGGACAATGGCGTGCCAGTTTGATGAGGCAACAAAAACACACCACATCTCCCACGGCCTCTGGAGCTGAGCTGTGAAGCTGACAGCTCGTTAGCGTGAAAGGCTGAGACCAGAACAGGGACAATGACAGTTAGAGGTCTCAAAGATGGAGATGGTCCTTATTTGGGCGCATGTGCTAAGAGATTTTTGTTTTATAAATGATTATTATCCTGGTCTGAAACTTGGGTTCTCCTCTGCCCTTCAACCCATGTATAATGATGAAGTCCCTATGTACTGTATTTCTGTTCCAACAGTGGTACATCTCTTTAGTTTTACTGACTGGCTTACAATATCATAAAAATGACTAATCTCAAAATACTTAAGCTAGCAGGGAAAGATACACTCTTGTTCTTTAGAATCTCAGTGAATCTGATAGAAACTCGCTGCAGGCATTGGTATGAATTCTTTTTTGTCTGGCATGTTGTTGGCTGACTAATAGTTATTTTTTAAATTCTTTTTTTTTTTTTTAATTTTTTTTTCAACGTTTTTATTTATTTATGGGACAGACAGAGACAGAGCATGAACGGGGGAGGGGCAGAGAGAGAGGGAGACACAGAATCGGAAACAGGCTCCAGGCTCCGAGCCATCAGCCCAGAGCCTGACGCGGGGCTCGAACTCACGGACCGTGAGATCTTGACCTGGCTGAAGTCGGACGCTTAACCGACTGCGCCACCCAGGCGCCCCTAAAATTCTTAATTCCTTTCATCAAATCACGTGTTAGGGATTGTCACTGCATGATCTTATATTCCCAACACCTTAACTACTTTGATTTGCATCCTGGCACATTTCACAATCAGTTAATCATCATTTTAATGACAGGAACAGAATAAGAAAGCTGATGACCAGTCTAAATCCACCTCTGTTACAGAATTACAAAGGGTCCTGGGAGAACCACAGTTCTTTTCTCCTGGAGGAATCTCCTTCCAGCGCTTTATTTAACATCTAAAGCTCTACTTACTTTTAACCCCATTTCAGTCCTTTTGATTGCGGTTTCAAGATTCCGAATGTCTAGAGTCTCTCCCTTTTCCTCAAGCGGGAAATTTGTTAATTTCTCCTTTAACTGATAAAGGTCTTCATGGACCTATAGGTTTAAATAATATAAAATATTGAAAGAATACATACAGAGTTCACCTAAAACATTCGTTTTTTTTTTTTTAATGTTTATTTTTGAGAGAGCGCGAGCACACATGTGCGCGAGCAGGGGAGGGGCAGAGACAGACGGAGACCGTGGATCTGAAGCAGGCTCCATGCTGACAGCAGAGAGCCCGATGTGGGGCTTGAACTCACAAACCATGGGATCATGACCTGAGCCAAAGTTGGACACTTAACCAACTGAGCCACCCAGGTACCCCCAATTATTTATTTTATTATTAAAAATTTTTTAATGTTTATTTTTGAGAAAGAGAGAGACACAGCGTGAGCAGGGGAGGGTCAGAGAGAGGGAGACACCGAATCCGAAGCAGGCTCCAGGTTCTGAGTTGTCAGCATAGAGCCTGACGCGGGGCTCGAACTCATGAACCGCGAGACCATGACCTGAGCTGAAGTCGGAAGCTTAACGGACTGAGCCACCCACACGCCCCTGCAGTTATTTATTTTAAAGATTTATTTTAAATAAAATTATTTATTTTTAAAGATTTTCAATTTTCTTGAATTGCTGGGGATAATCAGGTAGATTTTATGATGTTCCTTGGAAAGAGCTGTCTTCATGGTTCGAAGATATCCTTTATTAGAATGTTTCACTGTTGTCTTTCAGATTGAAAAAAAAACTAAGCTTCCATACAATGTTCTATGTTTCCTTCCCCCATTAGAAACAAATCCAAGGGTAAAACTACCACTCGAATGGCTTCTGCTTCTCACCTGGCAAAACAGTTGAGTTCACGACTCGTATGAAATTTGCACCAAACTCGGATTCCTACTAATCGGCCAAGAGGTAAGAAAACAGAAGAGTTCTGGCAAAGAGAGGTTCTAGTGAAAGCAGAGCTTTTCAAAAGGGAATTGTAAATAGGTCAACAGGGCCCATTGGTTTTCCGTTCTGGCTGGATCTTCCCCGTTTACTGCTCTGCAGAAGCGGCTCTTTCGGCGTGTGGCCTTGACTCTGTCTTACGTAGTCAGAATTGAAAATGATCCGTGAAGAAAAAGTGGCGTACGTTAACCCACTTCAACATTCTCCTTCAATCTGTATTTTCCATGGAAACGATGAACACCTCTCTGAGGTCCGCCACCCTCGCGATAAAATGGGTGCTGTGAGATTAGGCATCCCCAGGTTCTCCGAATTCGTATTAGAAACCAAACTTCAATACATAAATACAGATGGCACCAATTATTGCGTGGGCTGCTGCCACAAGAAAAGCATTTTGTTATGCAAATTTATGAACCCAACACCTGTTTCAGCAATAGTGACACCAATAACAATCTGCAGACTGGGTTGCTGAAGGCATTTTGCAGCCGTTACCTTTTCTCTGGTAGTCTAACTGGACCTACAGGGTGCTCCCAGCCTGTGGTATCGATTACTTTGGAATATTCCCGTGGAGCCAAGGATTCAAAAGATCAGAATTTGCATCTTTTCACTGATGGGCCTCACAGTCTGGTAGACACATCTGGTCATTTGTACTCTGCACAAATTGTCATGGAAAGCCTTGAGGGCTCACAGATTGAAATCAGAACACACCTACCGTAGGCACTAAGGATAAAGGCGAACTTCTTTCAGTTGTTTGGTCCACATTAACGGCTGCAAGCTGGTTTACCTTCGATTGTCTAAAGGCATTTGGAAAGTACAAAGAAGCAGCCCAAGGGCGAGCCTCGCGTCCAGGCCCGCATTTCTTGGTCCATCCTTTGAATGCACTGAATTTCCTTCTTGTAGCTCTAGTGTTTGTAGTATTATTTGTAGCTTCACATAGCATTCTGTAATGTCTTTTGACAGCTGGTGGGGAATGAAACTGCCCTGGGTTATTTATCATGGAACCAAAGGGCTCTTTTGTTTCTTTGTTTGTTTGTTTGTTTAAGTCTTCCCTGTGTGGACAGTTCCACTTCTTTCCACGTGACGGCTCTAGTACACAGTAAGGGCAAGTGAACATAATTCCTTGCTCCATCACCAGTCACGTGATGTCCGTGCACACCATCACATTTCCCCTGGTTTCTTTACCAAGGGGGGAAAAAAAAAGAATTACTCTACTTCATAGAATGGTTGAATAAAACTAAGGCAATGTGTGTGAAATTGAATGAATGTAGGTTTTGGAAGCAGGCAGATATAAACCAGAATCCTATTTCCTCCTTTCCTGAGCTGGACAAAGTTACATCGTTTTTGAGAGCCTTGATGCTTTCATCTATAAAATGGGGATCATTGGCTACCTGTTGGAAGAGTGGCAAGAATAAAATGAGTTAAAGTATGTAGAGTGCTTTGTGCAGGGCCAGCCACATAGGACGGCCCTGAACAAATGTTAATCCTCCGCTCCTGCGTGGTAAAACCTAGTGAAGTTCCTTGACGTAACTGGCATTTAGTAAATGTTCCTTGATTTGAATTGCTCTCTTCATCTTCCTCAAGAGTTTTTTTTTTTTTAATTTTCTTGCTAGATATTTTTTTTCTCCCCTTTCAATAACCACATATCTGTATGGTAGTTGCAATAGAGACAAACATTGTAGGAAATGTGTCAACCAGACTTGGGTAGGAAGAAAAAAATTATGTTCTAAATCTCTGTTCTTTCTTCAAATGGATCCAATCTACCATATTGAAATTTTACGTGTCCCCCATCATTTCTCTGGTCATCAAATGCATTGCTTTCCGTATATTTCCTACTAGGAGGAAGTTTTTTTTCTTCTAAAAATTTTTTTTAACGTTTTATTTGTCACTTAGAGACAGAGTGTGAGCAGGGGAAGGACAGAAAGAGGGAGACCCAGAATCTGAAGCAGGCTCCAGGCTCTGAGCTGTCAGCACAGAGCCTGACGCAGGGCTCGAACTCACAGAAGGAGGAAGATTATTATTTTGACAGTTTGGGGACAGAGCTGCTTAATAAGAAGCCCTTGAGAGATGTAATGCAGTGAAGATTCGCTCTAGCATTTAGAAATCTGGCCACACAACTAGATTCCATGTTGTCAAAAGCAGTTCCATAACTGCATTTTATGTATCTCTGCTAAACATAGGGTTTGGCTGAGTCATTCTCATCATGCTTGCCCACTTGTCCCTTCATTTTATGTTGTTTGTTCCTGGCAAACCAGACGGAGGAGGTGATAAGAAAGACAGTGATGATATCAATTAGTTCCAGTATTTCCAAGGTTGGTGTTTTTGTTTGTTTGTTTGTTTGTTTGTTTGTTGAAAGAGGGAGCGTGAGCAGGGGAGGGACAGAAGGGAGAGAGAGAAAACCTCAAGCAGGGTCCATGTTCCGCATGGAGTCCAATGTGGGGCTCGATCCCATGACCCTGAGATCATGACCCGAGCCAAAATCAAGAGTCGGATGCTCAGCTGACTGAGCAACCCGGGTGCCCCGAGTCAAGAAAACATTTATAAAGATGTTTTAAAAAGATATCAGATGATCATTAGTAAAGTACAAAAACAAAGCTTGTAAGAGTTATTAATAAAAGAAAGCATGCAGGAGGCCTCCCGGACTCAGCACCCCACTTCTCCAAGACTGTTTCACGAACCTGCCATAACCTGTTTCAGGATCAACGCGCGTGGGATCTATCCCCTTGGGCAACTTACTTTAGCTCTTCGTACTTTAGTTTCTTCTTCTGTCAACTGGTGCTAAACGTGATACCTGCCTAATAGAGGTGTCACTAGGGCTTGAGATAATCTAAAGCTCTCAGTACAGTGTCAAGCTGTCAGTAAAGTTGGCAACTCTCTTAGTTATAATCATGATGATTAATTACTACAGTTACAGCCTCACTGTTCTGATCAGTTGAGGAAAGGTGCAGCTGACACTGTAAAAAGCCTGAATTAGAGACTTAAAAGTGCAAGAAGGAGTTAACAACAGGCTGCCTCGTAGAGCTCTGTGTGGAGATGGTAACCCTATGTCCTGAGCCAAAAGTAAGACTGTGGGTTGTGGTTTTGGTACATGATCTGACAACGGGACAGAATATTCACAATCAGAACTGTCCTGAGAAATCCAAACATATAAGGCTTGTGTTTTCATAACAAGTCACACAAAAAGAGCTTATAACTAGAACATTGATTATGCGTATTTAAAGATTTTTTTCTCAAGTATTTTAGATATTTTATCAAAATATTTTATTATTAATTAGCATCATCCATTGTATTTTCCAGATAATGGTACATGTTAGTCCAGCTCGCTTCATTTTTGAAAAGAACATACATTATTGGAGACTGAATTAATGACTAGATCATTATCCAGTCATCCAGGATCAATGGACCCAATCCTGTGCGGGGTAAAATGGGATATCCCAAAAATCCATCTGTAACAGGGAAACAAGACATAACTTATTTGCCCTATAGCATCACCCATAAAGTTTTAGTTAAGAATGGAGAAGTCCCAGGGGAGCCTGGGTGGCTCAGTCGGTTAAGCATCCAACTTTGGCTCAGGTCAGGATCTTGCAGTTGGTACATTCGAGCCCCGCATCAGGCTCTGTGCTGACAGCTCAGAGCCTGGAGCCTGCTTCAGATCCTGTGTCTCCCTCTCTCTCTCTCTCTCTCTCTCTCTCTCTCTCTCTCAAAAATAAATAAACATTAAAAAAAAAGTTTAAGAATGGAGTAGTCCTGGCTAAAAAGACAGGCTGAAATTAATTTTTCCTTTTCTTCCAGTAAAAATCAGGCTAATCTTAAAAAGACACAGGAATGAACAGAAAACTAAGTGATATTAAAAAGCAAGAGACCCTATCTAATATAAACCCACATCTATTGAGTGTTACACATTATATGTTATCTTATATTTTAATTCTTACAAGACTCCTAAGACAGAGTTCATATTATTATCTTTATTTTATACTTGAGGGAAACTGACGTGTAAAGTGCTTAAGTAGCTTGTGCATGGTAACACAGCTGGTTATTTGATGGAACTACTCAAATCCAGGCAGTGTGAATCCAGAACCTTCATGCCTAACCATTAACCAGTACATGCACTATATCTACAAATATACAAATGTGTATTTATAAATATACAAAATTAAAGACTGGTGAAAATTCAGTGGAAAAGGCAGGATTTAAGTATCTAGAGGAGTGAAAAGGGGCAAGGGAAGACTTTATTAAAAATTTTTTTTTAATGTTTATTTTTGAGAGAGGGAGAGAGAGAGTGAGTGAGTGAGCATGAGTGGGGGAGAAACAGAGAGAGAGAGGAAGACTCAGAATCCGGAGCTGTGAGCTCTGATCTGTCAGCACAGAGCCTGAAGCGGGGCTCGAACTCACGAACCTTGAGATTATGACCTGAGCCGAAATCAAGAGTTGGACACTTAACCAGCTGAGCCACCCAGGTGCCCCGGGAAGACTTTATTTTATACCAGGATTGACAGATTGAAAGGGTTTGAGAAGATTGCTTGCATTTTCTATGTATATGGGTCTACCCACAATACACATCTTTGGTCAGTTTCTTTTCCATAATGTGAAATAATAACAGTCCTTAATGGATAGCTTTGTTTTAAGTCTTAAAGGAGTTAAAACACATATAGCATTTAGAACCATGCACAATACCCGACAAACACTATGTAGCTTTGATTACTGTGATTTTTCTTTGAAATCATATTACAGTTTACATTTTAGAAAACTATCGAAAGTAGAAGTTCTCAGAACTGAGTGTGCCGTAGTTATGTTAATCTTTTTTTTTTTTCCATTCATTTATTTTTGAAAGGTGGGGGGCGGGGGGGAGGGCCAGAGAGAGAAAGAGACCGAGAATCCTAAGCAGGCTCCAGGCTCTGAGCTGTCAGCACAGAGCCCGACGTGGGGCTCAAACCCAGGAACCGTGAGATCATGACCTGAGTTGAAGTCAGACACTTAACCAACTGAACCACCCAGGTGCCCCTAGAGTTATCTGTTATAAGAACAGATCGCTGGGTTGCTCTACGCCCAGAACTCCTGATTTAGTGGGTCTGGAATGGGGACTGAGAATTTGTGTTTCGCCTAAGTTCTCAGCTAGTGCTGAAGATGCTGGTCCTGGGATCGCTCTTTGAGAATCACTGGCCTAAGGAGTTGCTTAATGTTTCTGATTAAGACACAGACCTGTTTAGGTGAAGCAAGTGGAGATTTGAAGTACCTCTGCTTTTCTGGCAACTGTGTATGTATATATATCATATAAAGTACCTTAAAATTTATAATATGTTAATATATAGTTATATAATAATATTTATATAACTATAGGAAGAATTTGAATGCCTAGGCTGATAATAAAGGAAGTCCACTTTATGATTAAAAGAGATTATGTAGCTTTTTTTTTTTTTTTTTTAGAAATTATGTAGCTTTGGACAAACTGGGTCAGTTTAGAGTCAGAAGTGGATCTTATTCAAGCTATGTCTCCTACAGAAGAGAAAACTGAGGCCCAAAGAGGTGAAATGATTAGCCTAAAGTTACCCACCTGGAAGAATGTCATTGCCAGGGTCAGACCTCAGTGTTCTGACTCCCAACATAGTGCTTTCCACTAGAGGTACTGTTGAATAGTAACCTGTTTAAAGGATGTAAGTCACAGCCCCAGGCAGAAGTGGAATCCACGCTGAGTGTCTGAGAGTAGGGGCTGTATGCTCATAAATACTTCAGACGTGGTGAGAAAGTAGGGGAGGTCTTCCTCATTTCTTTGTTATATACATTTTCTACACATCACCAGGGAGAATTTTATCTGTGTCTAGAGAGCAGCCTGGATATGACTGTTCTGAGCTCTCCTGCTCCATTTTACAATCCAATGATAAAAGATATCAATATTATGATGTTATAGCCTACGTTGATGAAATAGCTACCTCTGGGTCCCCCTCTGAAGTGAAAAGGCTTCTAGATTTTCAGGCAATACCCTATTCTACACTGTTCTAAACCACAAGGGGGGCAGCCCTGGGAAAGAGAATTATCTCAAGGGAAAGTATGAAATTAGGTGTGAGAATTCTCCCCAGATTCTGGTTTCTTTTTTAGAGATGTTCCAGGTCTGGAGAAATACAGAAAACTAAAGAGTAACAGAACTGTCCCTGTAGTCAACATGAAGTATATTGTAGGCGAAACTGGCTGTTGCAGGGTAGGAATCTCCACGAGCGTTCCTGTTGGAGTCTGTAAAATGGGCCCTGGATTTAGAAGGGGTATGTGTAGTAAACAATCAGCTTTACCCAACAAGAGGTCTGGCCTTTGCCCTTGGATACTGAGAGGTGATCTCTAGGCCCCTGCTTGATAAGTGTCTTTGCTTCGCGTCTTTGGTTACCAGAGAGCCTAACGATGTATTTTTGATGGGGGCCTTGGGTCACACAGTATCCGTTCCAAACTGTAGAGGAACCGGAGACTAAAGGCATTAGTGTGACCTCTGGGACGGGCTGAAGATAAAAGGTCAGAACACGGGCAGTGTGTAATTGAGTCCCAGGAAAAACTCTGGACATCAAAGTCCTAGGTGAGCTTCCCTAGTTGTCAGTACTCCCATATACTGTCACACATCACAGCTTGTAGGAGGTAAAGCTGTGCATGACTCCAAGGGGGTAGGATCACTCTGCCCTATGTATGTCTTTCCTTGGCTGACTTTAATTTGTATCCTTTTGGTGTTACAATACTGTAATGGTAAGGATAACACTTTTCTGAATTCTGTTGCTTTAGCAAATTAGCCAGTATGAAGGTGGTCAGGGCCCCCAAATTTGTCGATAGCCGGCCTTACGTGATGTTGATTCTGGGGACTTCTGAACTTAGGCCCATGTAGAAGAGGGAGCAGTTTTGTGGGGACTGGTCCCTCAGACTTTGTAGTTTGGCTAAAGTCATCTAGGATGCTGGTGACAGAGGATGATAAAAGGTGAGGTAAAAAGATTTGGGTATTATTCGTAACGGGTATCTCTATGAAGTTGGCGAGTTTAGGGGTTTGTATTTTGGAAAAGGTGAATTTAAAGAACTCTCTCCTAGGTGGGAGGTAAGAGACCAATATCCTGGCAGGAAAATCCATTGCAGATCTGAGTATGAGTCAGAATGGAATGAATTTAGGCAAATTACTTCAAGCCTTAGACAAATGGAGCTAAATATAAGTTCAAAGTGATGATTTATGTAGAGATGTTTTTAAAGCTACCATATGTAAATGTGAAAAAACAAAATGCTTTTACCATTTGGGAAAAATCTGAGTGTAATTGTCACAAACTGAGTTATCCTGGAGAAGTTAAGACTTTCTTGATATTTCCCCCCACTCAGGTTAGAAAAAGTTATTTCCTGGAGTTTTTAAAATTTGTCACATTTCTATTCAAGACTTAATTAAACTTGATGGGCAATCCAAGTTATCTTTACTATATTTTCCTGTGTGTGTTCCCAAGCTTTTATTTAATTCATTTATTTATTTGAGATATAATTGAAATATAACGTTTTATTTCAGGCATACGACATACTGATTCGGTATTTATATTTACTGCAAAATGTCAAAGTTAACATCCATAACCACACATAGTTACAATTTTTTCTTATAATGAGAACTTTTAACATGTATTCTCTTAGCAACTTTCAAATATAACAGTACAGTATTAACTATAGTCACCATGCTATACATTACATCCCCAGGGCCTAACTTATTTTCAAGATCCTTTTAGATACACAAAATTTAGGTGCGTAAGAAAAGTAGTTAACATATTTCAACTTCTCCCCAAATTTCTTACCATCTCCCCAAAGTGCCTGATTTGTATTCTCCCTCCCCCATATCATGGGTTCAGATTTTTCAGAATATAACATTTTAAAATGGTGCCTCGGTGTAAGATTGACTTCGGAAGTAAAGGTTCTGGGGGTGAGGTGTACGGTCTCGAGAGTTTTACCAGAGGCAGAACGGACGGTCGAGCTTCTGAAGCGCAACCTGCAGGGTACGGCACGGGAGGCGAGTTAGGCTCTCGGCAGAGGTCCGGGTTGGCATATTTGGGAGTTCTCGAAGGGGCAGTGCCTCTCGCATGCCGGAGGCAGTCTAGGGGCGGCGCTCCAAAAGGCTGGGCGCGAGTGGATCTGCGCTGCTGCGCCTCGCGCGTACGTATCTTGGCTGGGCAGGGTCAGGAAAGGCCCGTTTCCCACCTGGATTAGGATCGATCCGATGGGGTCGTAGTTTTCAGTCTCTTGTGCCATGGCTAGGGCCGGGGAGCGGTACCTCCCGGAGAAGGCGCGGTCTCCAGGCGCCCAAGCCAGGTGCTGCTAGTGCTCGTCCCCATGGCAACCCCAAGCGCAGCCCGGCCTGTTCTACGCCGGGAGCGGAAGAGGGGTGTCGGAGGAGTCAGGGTAGCGGGTTCCTGCCGAGAACGCGCCCTTCCTTGCGTGTCTCCCCCGCGCACCGGTAGCCGTGGTGCAGCCCAAGGCGGAAGCGGCTCCGGGACGGAACTGACTTGCTAGTGCAGCTATGGCTGCGGGCGTCCCTTGTGCGCTTGTCACTAGCTGCTCTTCCACCTTCACCGGAGACCGGCTGGTCCAACGTGAGTAGCGAGGCTCCCGGGCCGACCTTCAAGTTCTCCGAGCCTCGGCGGGCGGCAGCCTCGGAATCGCGGTCTCCCTCTGTGCCTTTGTCGCCGCCGCGGGCCCCGAGCTCTTCCTCCACTCGGCGGTGGCCAGAGGCTCCACGGGTGCAGCTCAGACCCGGTCCGGGGGCCCAGGCCCCGCAGGTGTCTTCCCTTGGCTCTCACACTCATTGCTTTTCTGCCCGCCCGGCGCGCTATTGCATTTCTTCCAGCTTTTTCAGCAAAGTGGGACTCATCCCTGCCCCGCCCAGTCCACGGATTGTTGCGGGGACCTTTGAGATGAACCGCAAGGCGCTCTGGAAATTGTACCCACTCACGCGGGTGTAAGGTGCAGGAACTGGGATGTCTGTTGCTATCCCTGCTCCGGAGGTAGAGAGTTGGTTTCCTTTTGGCTCCTCCTTGTTGTATGTGAGTTCGCCTTGTCTCCTCCACTCTAGTTATTTACTGTAGGTTGTTATCCAACATTGGCTTTGGGGTGTTACTGGCCTAGTTTCTTTGCCTCTGGAGCTTCACAGTGGCTGTCAAACTGAACGACTTAAAAGAAACCTTAGGCGAGACCAGTGTAGTAGAAAGAGCATGGGACTGGGTCATAGGCTCAGCATTTTGAGTAAATGATTCTGTGAAGTTGATTGTAACCAAGACTCCTATTTTAAATGAGTGGATCTCAGCTGTGTGATAGCTTAACCTTCACCCTTCAGTTTTCGAATCTGTAAAATGGTGATGATTTTCGCAGAATTGTGCTTACCCCAGAGGTTGGCATTTGGTAAACGTTAGATAATGGCAGTCATTATTATCAAAGCACATTATCTTGGGAACCCTCAGTTTCCTGGGCCTACAAATGGTGCATATGAGCCTATCTCACAGGATTATTTGAAGGACAGGTGCCATTTTGAAAGCACTGTGTCAATTGTGAAGCATCACACAATTGTATATATATTTTTTCTGTACCTGTCAAATGACAGAATTAGGCAGGATGCCCCTCCAACAACAAATATTCTATAACTTAGTTGCCCTTTGTGACCACTTAAAAAGTTCTTTGCCAGGGTAAAAGTTTAATTATAACACTTATTGTTATACTCTATGCCGTTTCCTTACCCCTTAACAGTGCTCCTTCCATTTATTCCCTTTCTTTTCTTTTTTAAAAATTGTTTCATTGTAAAAAAAATAGTGCATACTTCTTTAGTGCATACTCATTAAGTAAGATTTAACATATGGAGAAAAGAGAATGTCATCCATGGTCTCATCAGCCAGACACAAGTACTGTTAACATTTCTGTGCATTTCCTTCCAGTCTTTTTTCCAATACTTACGTTTAAAAAGAAAAATGGTAATTATATTTCACATATAATTTTATTCCTGATATTTATAATTCCTGATACAATTCCTGACATTTTCTATATAATTTTTATGTTTTATACATAATTTACATTTTCATATTTTGTATATAAAAATTTAAATATATGTAAATTAAATGTTCAAAATATTTAAATAAAATTAAATTTATGCACATATAATTAACATGTGCAATATATAAAATGTATATAATTTATGTTTATATTTTACATATAATATTTTTAATATAAATTTTATCCTGATATTTTTCTTTTTTAATTTTTAAAAATTTACATCCAAATTAGCATATAGTGCAACAATGATTTCAGGAGTAGATTCCTTAGTGCCCCTTACCCATTTAGCCCATCCCCCCTCCCACAACCCCTCCAGCAACCCTCAGTTTGTTCTCCATATTTATGAATCTCTTCTGTTTCTTCCCCCTCCCTGTTTTTATGTTATTTTTGTTTCCCTTCCCTTATGTTCATCTGTTTTGTCTCTTGAAGTCCTCATATGAGTGAAGTCCTATGATTTTTGTCTTTCTCTGACTAATTTCACTTAGCATGATACCCTCCAGTTCCATTCACGTAGTTGCAAATGGCAAGATTTCATTCTTTTTGATTGCCGAGTAATACTCCATTGTATATAAATACCACATCTTCTGGATAAAAGAACCTTTATCCATTCATCCATCGATGGACATTTGGGCTCTTTCCATACTATGGCTATTGTTGATAGTGCTGCTAACATGGGGGTGCATGTGTCCCTTTGAAACAGCACACCTGTATCCCATGGATAAATGCCTAGTAGTGCAATTGCTGGGTCTTAGGGTAGTTCTATTTTTAGTTTTTTGAGGAACCTCCATCCTGTCTTCCAGAGTGGCTGCACCAGCTTGCATTCCCACCAACACTGCAAAAGAGATCCTCTTTCTCCGCATCCTCGCCAACATCTGTTGTTGCCTGAGTTGTTAATGTTAGCCATTCTGACGGGTGAGAGGTGGTATCTTCTTTTGGTTTTGATTTGTATTTCCCTGATGATGAATGATGTGGAGCATTTTTTCATGTGTCGGTTGGCCATCTGGATGTCTTCTTTGGAGAAGTGTCTCTTCATGTCTTTTGCCCATTTCTTCACTGGATTGTTTGTTTTTTGGGTGTTGAGTTTGATAAGTTCTTTACAGATTTTGGATACTAACCCTTTATCTGGTATGTTGTTTGCAAATATCTTCTCCCATTCCTTTGGCTGCCTTTTAGTTTTGCTGATTGCTTCCTTTGCTGTGCAGAAGCTTTTTATTTTGATGGGGTCCCAGTAGTTCATTTTTGCTTTTGTTTCCCTTGCCTCCGGAGACGTGTTGAGTAAGAAGTTGCTGCGGCCAAGATCAAAGAGGTTTTTGCTTGCTTTCGCCTCGAGGATTTTGATGGCTTCCTGTTTTACATCGAGGTCTTTCATCCATTTTGAGTTTATTTTTGTGTATGGTGTAAGAAAGTGGTCCAGGTTCATTCTTCTGCATGTCGCTGTCCAGTTTTCCCAGCACCACTTGCTGAAGAGACTGTCTTTATTCCATTGGATATTCTTTCCTGCTTTGTCAAAGATTAGTTGGCCATACGTTTGGGGGTCCATTTCTGGGTTGTGTATTCTGTTCCATTGATCTGAGTGTCTGTTCTTGTGCCAGTACCATACTGTCTTGATGATTACAGCTGTGTAGTATAGCTTGAAGTCTGGGATTGTATATGCACATAAAATTAATACATGCAATATATAAAATGTATATTATTTATATTTATATTTTACATATAATATTTTAATATAAATGTTATCCTGATATTTTCTTTTTTTTTTTTAATTTTTTTTTTTTTAACATTTATTTATTTTTGGGACAGAGAGAGACAGAGCATGAACGGGGGAGGGGCAGAGAGAGAGGGAGACACAGAATCGGAAACAGGCTCCAGGCTCTGAGCCATCAGCCCAGAGCCTGACGCGGGGCTCGAACTCACGGACCGCGAGATCGTGACCTGGCTGAAGTCGGACGCTTAACCGACTGCGCCACCCAGGCGCCCCCTGATATTTTCATTTAACATCACATCATAAATTACTTTCTATCATATATTGCCTCTAGTGAACATAGAATTTGCTCAAGATTCTTAAAATTCTTGATGTATTTAACTTTACAAAATAATCACGTGCGTTTGGATTTCCATTACTGATATATATAAAAGTCATTTCCAAGCCAGTGTCTGAAATATTTGGTGAATATTCTGATGACTGTGGTACTCTGTGTGCTTTAAGGATCAGAATTGGCAGACACAGTCACTTCTTGAAGGAGTTGATTACCTATAATTGGCAAATAGTAACTCTATAGTACTTTAAAGTATGGTAGCATTCTTGGGGGTAAAATGAATTCTGTAAAATAATCCACTTTGTTTCTATATGTAAAATTCCTCTTAGGTAACTCAAAGCCAACTTTTGTGTTGACTAAAATTAGATAGGCCTTGGGGCGCCTAGGTGGCTCAGTCGGTTAAGCGTCCGACTTCAGCTCAGGTCACGATCTCGCGGTCCGTGAGTTCGAGCCCCGCGTCGGGCTCTGGGCTGATGGCTCAGAGCCTGGAGCCTGCTTCCGATTCTGTGTCTCCCTCTCTCTCTGCCCCTCCCCCGTTCATGCTCTGTCTCTCTCTGTCTCAAAAATAAATAAACGGTAAAAAAAAAATTAGATAGCCTTTGTGATTCTGTTAATATTCCGTAGAGAAAAAAATAAGACTGCCAGTGAAGACATTACTTGTAAGGAAAAGTGAACTATAAAAGGACTTTATCATTTCTTGTCAGGTTATTGATAGGGAAATGGTGGGTACCACTAGCCTGCAGTATTTGCCGAGCATTCCTTCTGTTTTATTATAAGATTGAATTAAATTAATCATGAATTGAGGCTAATTTTGGTATAAGAGAGACGACCACAATGAATGATGTTTGTCAAGTGTTCAGTGATATTAGGCCATAGAATGATTTTGGATTGAATCTGATCTTTTTGGGGAAGGTTTGGTTTCGTTTCATCCATCAGGAAGAAGAACCTTTAGGGTTTCTCCAGTTTCTCTTTCTTTCAACATCTGATCTCTTTTACTGCTTTTAACCAACAATGGGAAATATTTCATAACCAGATAACCAAGTTTGTTATAAATACACATGAAATAAAAATCAGTAGGCCTCTGCTATGGATAAAGTGCATGCATGGATTTTGTGGAAAACTTTTTTTCATTTTGTCACTCAAAGGCCTTATTTTCAGTATTCTGGGTGGGTGTCTGATATCAGATAAAAGGGCATTACAGACTTACATTGTAGACTTTTAAAAAAATTCTTTTTTAATGTTTGTTTATTTTTGAGAGAGAAAGAGAGAGAGAGAGAGAGAGAGAGACACTGAGCACCACCAGGGGAGGAGCGGAGA